CTCTCTCTCTCTCTCTCTCTCTCTCTCTCTCTCTCTCTCTCTCTCTCTCTCTCTCTCTCTCTCTCTCTTGCCGTTCTATTTGCAGGTGCGCGGCGTCTTCCTGCAGCGGCACAGCTATGGCAGACCCTTCTTCCTCAATGGCGCGACTGCTGCTATGGCACCCAACTGGCGCTTCTTCTCTTTGCGCTATGGCGCACTGCTGACATGGTGCTGGACTGGCGCCTCTCTTCCTCCTCTCGATGATGGCGGGTGGAACAACGGGAACCTGCTCTGATACCAATGCATTCAGACTCGTCTTTTTCTTACTTAGCATGCATGAAGCTAGATGGCAATCACACTAGCGACGAGCGCCCACACAAAGCTCAGAGATATCGTGGCCAAAAACACAGTTCAGATTAAACTCACTTCAGAAATAGCTATGGCGCCTGTGCGCCCTCACAACACCCTTCCTCGTTGTATCCTTAGCCACAGTTCACACGCATGCTACTCTGGATCTCCCTGGATGTTCCACACACTCTAACACCACCCCGCATACTCACACACACACACTCACTATAGGCTAACTCTAACCTATGGCAGCTATGGCTGCCCTCCACCTACTAACTACTAGTGGCGATGACCGCTCTGTCTCCCTCGCAGCCCACTTCGACTTCGGGCATCTGCAGACCACCTCGCACAAGCCGCTCGGGCAGTGCTTCCGCATGGCCAATGCAGAATGAATGAATGGCTGGACGCTGCCTCTTGATTTATACTTCTGTTAGTTGCTGGTCTGCTCCTTCACCGGGCCCATCGTGCGCACAGTCCCACATGGTACCTGCTGACTGGACAAAGTCTGGGACTGGGTACCGCTGACTCGACAAAGCTGGACTGCCTACTTGCCCACTTGCCTCTCGCCTAACGTGAACAATTCTCGAAAGGCCACTTCCGTACCTTCCGGAAGTCTGTAGACTTGGTGTTGCATACTGTAACGGTGCAGACCAGAACAAGAACCGACCTCTCAATACAAAGAATAAGATAGCACAGCGGAAGACTTAGATACCAATGATCCGAACAATCAACATTACAATGCAGCCCTGAACATACATCATCATCATCGTTACACGGTGTGAATGGGCCTGGCGCTTCACACAGGAAGACTGCGCCAGCCCCTACCATACACAGACGAAGAAAAAGGGGGTTAGACGAAGAGGAGGGGAAGATGGGAATGTCGTCAACACCAAGTCTTCGGCACAGCCCAAATAGTCCCTCGTCGAAATGTCTGAATCCCAAATGTCAAGTCTGGATCCAGATTCGTCAAGTCCCAAGTCGCAACTCTCTCTCTGTAGTAGTCCGCTGATACTGAGAAGTCAGGTGGTGAGAGGGGAAGAAGAGATGGTGGACTTAGAAGAAGAGGAAGAACACTCTCTCTCTCTCTCTCTCTCTCTCTCTCTCTCTCTCTCTCTCTCTCTCTCTCTCTCTCTCTCTCTCTCTCCGGTAATAACCTGTGAAGGTGGCGCCTGCTTGCAGGTACCTC